CTTAAGATATCGCCTTTATTAAGTAAAAACTTGTTTGAAACATTGGCGTAGCACGCTTATTTACATTTACTTTAACATTACAGACGTGCATTTGTTTTGTTGCCCTGACTAGGTTCCGTGAATGTTGTATAGACAAATTATAATCAACCAATTGTGAATTACACCATCAAAAATTAAAATAAAATCCAGTGTTTTATATAATAGACGGAAGTCGAAGCAATAAAAAAGTCTGGACGACCACCGGTATTGTTTACAGTTTCTCTGTTTGACTCTCACGTGTAGGTACAATCTCAACAAGTGTTACCGCTTATTGTCTTAAATTAAGAATGCTTATACATAAATGATTTTCAGTCGCCTCTGCTAATACACGTGGCATACGTGAGTAAACTGTTTCGTTATTTTATTGATTATAAATCGATATTCAAGACAACCCATTTCATTTTTCCGAAAATTTGGGAATACTTTTATTTTTAGTATTACACTACATCTATCCAAACTGATATACGTGTTCTTGCAAAAATGTTGATAACGTCATCGCAATTTTTTTTAAATGCTCCGCTATAAAAATATAATGAGAAAAAACTAAATAGGCATGCAGTCGTCACGTTTCCGACAGCAAGGGAAGTACTGTCTAAACTCTTTGCCCCATTTTTTTTTGTTGGAAATAAGATCCACTGAAAAGAAATGTCGAAGGAGCTGCTTTTGCTGTATTTCATTTTCAACAAAAGAAATCAACAAAATGTTTTCCACTGCTGAAAGATGAAAGCAGTGGTGAAAATCGTGTTCCGAAATTTCCATAAATAATTGAGATATTGAGTTTTAAAAACACATGTTGAGAATTTTCACAAAAACTTAAAAAAAACTTATGATGGCCAATTGTTTTTAAAACAACTGCCGCTGTGTTATATAAAGTAATTTGTGGACAACTTATCGAAATTCAAAATTTCATAGGAATAAGTCTATTAATAACGCAGATTTTCTGAAAATGTAATGAACATCTCACAAGTGAAAAAGGTAGAACTAGCCTTAGTTAATTAGTTCTTTGCTGTGTTTTGAGGAAACAAAATCAATCAAATTTCATTTTCTTTCTGCCGCCGCTGCTGTTGATTATCTGTAGGTGCAATTAAGTTGAGTATTCAACTATTAAGTCAATTTTTTTCAAATTATAAACATGAACAGTCAGAACTAAGCATGTACTGAGAATACATGTTTTCCTATAAATTATCTGCTTTAAATATATTTCATATTGTTCGTAGTTGTACGGACCGCGTTCCCTTGGAATTTGCGACACAGAGGCTGCGAAAGTGTTACTTACGCCGCGGGGCAACATACTTCTTTGTTTGTACTTTCAGACTCCTAAAATATCTTTATTTTAACTTATAGGGATTATTATAAAAATATAAAACTCGAAAAATTAAATTTTATAATTTTTCGTATTTTGTATTTGTTCGATAGTACTTTAGGGGCGAGGCAAGTTCTATCGAGATAACCTTAGATCATTTTTTTGAAAGCGACATCCATTAATATTTTCTTTGCAAATAGAGTAGGTACAGTTTTAACAAATGCGATAAATAGAGTATGACCAAAGATATAGTGCGGTTCTGGATTAATTTTTGCGACTTCATCAAAGCGGGCGACAATAAATCTGTGTAACATCCCACTGTTTATATTTACTGAATTTTATGAGGGATCCACGGTAAAATGTTTATGAAATTATAGTCGTAAACGCACTACCAATATCTTTAGCGGAATTCTACAGTATTGTAATAGGGTCCGTTGGGGACTGACTACTTGATATGTAGCTCATTTGGTTTAATCCAATTAAATTTAAATGACATGGTCACAGTTGAGCTATTCCACTGTAACATATTATTGTACAGAGAGATCGAAAAAGAAATTAATCAAAGTTGGCCATGCACGAAAAGCCGTTTGTTCTGATAATGCTCTAGAAATCAGTATAGATAAGTGTAAACAAGTGTCTTATAATGGGAAATTAATAAGCCATAACTACTATTAAGTATAATATCAACGGTATACCATTAGAGCATGGCAATCAGTATAAGGATCTTGGTGTTATATTTAATCAGAAGCTAACGTTTATACCGCATATTGAAGCAACTCTGTAATTGCATGTTTAAAAAACAACTCGATCGAGCTGCAGTGGACACGTTATTTACGACCCTAAAACTTTTCTATTGTAAACAACTTAACTTCGACACAATGGGATAATTTTATGTTGGTCATATAACCTTATAGCCTTTGGACTACTATATATAGATATATATATATATAATAATAATTATTATTATTATTATTTAACATACTTAACAAACATATTCTGATTTTTTTCAAAAAAAAAATATATATATATATAGGTAATAGAACAGGGAAACTGGGACACTCGATACAGTAATTTAGAAGTATGTATATGTATCTAAATCCAAAAATAAAATATTTGGCGCGAGCTAGAATATTTAAATAAAATAGTTCAGCTCGAACGAGCATCTAAAACATATTTATATTCAAAATTATTCCTTCGATTGCGGAAACAATTAAAAACTAGGTATCATGTGAAATGTTTTAATTACTTACTTTAAGTGTAACACCAACAATTAAATCATTAGTTATGTTCACGGTCGTTGGATTCAATTCGGCAACAAACTGCGCAGAACAGTTCTTATAAATAAAAATCGCTAAATTTTTACTTCCCGAGCGTAAGCAAAGGAAGTATTGTAATCGAGTCCGTCGGCCGACTCTCTACTTTTACGTTTTCTCGATCTTTCATGACCCCTAGAAGACGAAGAAATAGGTCTCCCATTTCCGTCTGTCTGTCCGTCTGTCCGTCTGTCCGTCTGTCCGTCTGTCCGTCCGTCTGTCCGTCCGTCTGTCCGTCCGTCTGTCCGTCCGTCTGTCCGTCTGTCCGTCTGCCGTCCCGGATTTTTATTAGACAGATAATCTCCGAAAGTACTCGACCGATTGTTGTGAAATTTTGTATTTATATTAAGAATATCATGTAGATGGTAAAACGCTAACCAAAATTTGTCTATTCATCCCCACCACTAATGCGATGACGTCACTTCAAAATTGTACATAGTAAATGGGTTTTCAATTGTATAAAATAACATAGTCCTACACATGTAGTTTACAACTCTGAATCGACTTTTCACCCGAAACGTCCAGATTTTTGGAAAAAAAATCAAAATTATAAAACAACATTTTGAAATTTAATTTTTAATCTGCTAACCAGAATGCTTTGAAATGTTGCAGATGTTTTAAGGCTATAAAGAGCATCATAAATCTTTAGTCAAAAAATATTTGCTTATCCCCTCCAAAAACTTGATGACGTCAGCTCAAAAGTTTGTGGAATAAATCATATCTAAAATGTACAAAATATGATGAGTCTGTACTTGTGATCTATCACTCCATTCATATTTTTTGGATTTGCATATACAGGGTGACTCAAAAAAATTAATGAATGCGTAAATTTATTTTACTGATTTACTCAGAAACTACAAAACCGAATGCTTTGAAATCTTGCAGATGTTTTAAGGTTATACAGAGCATAATAAATGTTTAGTCAAAATATATTTGCTTATCCCCTCCAAAAAATTGATGACGTCAGCTCAAAAGTTTGTGGAATAAATCATATCTAAAATGTACAAAATATGATGAGTCTGTACTTGTGATCTATCACTCCATTCATATTTTTTGGATTTGCATATACAGGGTGACTCAAAAAAATTAATGAATGCGTAAATATATTTTATTGATTTAATCAGGAACTACAAAACCGAATGCTCTGAAATCTTGCAGATGTTTTAAGGTCATAAAGAGCATAATAAATGATTAGTCAAAATATATTTGCTTATCCCCTCCAAAAACTTGATGACGTCAGCTCGAAAGTTTGCCGAATAAATCATATCTAAAATGTACAAAATATGATCAGTCTGTACTTGTGATATATCACTCCATTCATATTTTTTTGGATTTGCATATACAGAGTGACTCAAAAAAATTAATGAATGCGTAAATATATTTTATTGATTTAATCAGGAACTACAAAACGGAATGCTCTGACATCTTGCAGATGTTTTAAGGTTATAAAGAGCATAATAAGTGTTTAGTCAAAATATATTTGCTTATCCCCTCCAAAAACTTGATGACGTCAGTTCGAAAATTTGCCGAATAAATCATATCTAAAATGTACAAAATATGATCAGTCTGTACTTGTGATATATCACTCCATTCATATTTTTTGGATTTGCATATACAGGGTGATTCAAGAAAATAAATGAAAGCGTAAATTTATTTTACTGATTTACTCAGGAACTACAAAACCGAATGCTTCGAAATCCACTGCAAAAAAAAACATAATAAGCATGCAGTCGTCACGTTTCCGACAGCGAGGGAAGTACTGTCTAAACTCTTTAGACCAATTTTTTTTGGTTAAATTTAAGACACCCATAGCGAGGTCGTCTGGTAACTTGAAAACAGTTATAGCATAAAATTAGCTTCTGCTTCTAATCTGTTATTATTTATGATCAAATGAAACTACAAAAATTGAATTTTTAAATGACCAGTAGGTATAATGTAATGATGGTATCTACATCGACTTAATGAAGTGGCGCACCATCTAATTCGAAACAAATTTGAGGATTGGTTATTATATCCTCTACATTGACTTTTACGAGTATGTTACTGATTACATTTAGTACAACTCGCTTTCCCAAATGTACACGTTCGTTTTTCTAATCGCGAAAGTCGGAAATGTCAAAACTAGTTTCGAGATTTGTCGACCAAAAAGACGACGTTTATAGAAAGAGTTATTAATGTTTGTAAAACCAGCAGGAAAACAGTTTCCAAATTCGGGCGCTTACAAACACTCAGCATAAACCACTACTTCCTGCACTTATTAGGAAAGTACCTACTAGCTACTATTTACGTATTTAGTGTTGATGTATATGTTATCCAATGTTTATTCAATCTCTTATCTTTTACAGGGTCGGGAATTAAAGAACGACGAACAGACAAGCATAACATCCAGTGACGGCGTCTCATGTTTGCTGCTTCAAAATATCACCGCCGATGATAGTGGAAAATACGATATATCTGTAGAAAATCGTTTTGGGGCAGACTGTAATTACGCATCTGTATCTGTAGAAGGTATAGTTATAGATCATAATTATTGGCTGCGTATTCGTTTATTTTTAAATAACTACGAGCATATTTGAAATGATTTTTTGAGTTCTTCGTTATTTTTTACAACACTTGAATTTATTAGGACCATTTTATTTCTGCAGGATTAATTTTTATTTGTCTACCACCGCTTGTTAATAAGACAATACCACTACACACTTTCTTGTAAGTTAATTAATAGATTTTGTTAACAAAACTAAGGCAACAAAAGCGTGATGTGTCGCTTTTTCTATACATTTTTACGGATCTGTTGGTGTTAATTAAGTTTCAAACTTTTATATTTACTTGAAATGTCATAAATGGACACTGATAATGGATATGGCTTGTTTGTAGCAGTCCTCACGCAAGAAGCAATGTACACTTATCTGGTACATATATATTTAGTATTCATAAATGGAGAAGTAATGTTACAAGACAAACTGGCTATGTAAAATACCTTAGTAATATCACAATTTTAAAAAGCTACAACAAAATCGGGATTCTAAAGTGTCCTTGATGTCTTCAATCCAGTTATCGGTTATCTTAAACATACTCGTACATGAAATATCATTAGGCCATTTGCGAACGAGGCTATACATGCTATGTCCAGATATTGTTCACTAATTTGACTCTACCTTTTCATACTCTACTCACATAATACTTCATGAAACATCGAAAATACATGAAATTAACCATTCATTCAGTCACAATTTCGCAATTTTATGCTCGGGAAGTAAAAAAGAAGTTAATAACTCCTTCAATACCATATTTGTAGTACAAGATTATTTAAATCCATATCAGAACATTTAAACTAATATTTTCTTATTATACATGGCTTTCATTAATGTTTGATATCTAGTAGGCAATGGATTTTTAAAATCACTGCGCACTCACATACCTACTAGAATAATAGCAACGCGCGACTTTGACATCAAACGTCAATTTTCTAATTGAACTTGACAGTTTGTGAATAGTACCAACTTACAAACAAAGTGGATGGCCTACTATAACTCGAAGGATTAATGAAACTCTTGTAGAAATTACTGTACCAGACACAAAACCTTTAATGGAAGATCGTGCATATACCGGCGTTTTTTTTATCATTATCTGCCTATGAATAATTTGTTACTTACGTACTACGAATATAACAAAGTGAACATTTTTTTAAGTTAATATTTTCCATATCAAACTATTTTAGATCGAAATTGGAGCTCCACAGTCAAGAAATTTCCGCTCGAGGCGAAATCGAGAATTAAAAATATGCAATATACACGTTTTTTAACAGAAACCGTTTTTCGTTAAAAAATCAGATTTAAAATAAAAAGTGAAATCAATTTTTCAAGAATTATTTTATCATTTAGTAAATATTTTGTTGTTATATTGTTAAAGTCCGTCGGTAATTTCAATCCTCGGCTTCGCCTCAGGCAAAAGGAAAAGGACTTATTTTCAATGTAACAATTTCAACATTATTTTTCTTTCGAGTCAATGTTTCCCAAATCAAACTGTTTTAGGTCAAAATTAGAATTCTACAAAAGGCTAAATATAAGCCCCGCCCACCCACCCTTTCCCAATTCTGATGATTTTTTTATTCGTTTTGAGCCAGAGGGCTGAGCTTAATTGCAAAATCCTTATTTCTCTACGAGAAATAAAAACATGTTTTTGAGTATCACGTATATGTATGTATATTAAGAAAAAATTAAAGCCAAAAAGTAAGCCCCACCCATACCTGCCCTGATCTAAATAGTAATGAAGTTTTCATTCGTTAGCAGACCTAGGGGCGGAGCCTAATTGCAAAATCCATATTTCCTTACAAAAATTTGCAATATCAAACGTGGTTTAAGTTTTTAAGAATAAAAAAAATCATCACAACTGAGATGGGGTGGGTGGGAAGGGTTAATATTTTGCCTTTTTTTCTAAATATACATTGTATTCTTCGAACAACACGATACTCAAAAACATGTTTATAATTTCTTGTAAAGAAATAAGTACTTTGGATTTAAGTTCCGCCGCATTAGTTCACGACGAATAAAAAAAATCATCACAATTGAAATAGGGCGGGTGGGCGGGCCTAGATTTTGTCTTATTGTTTTAATATGTGTAGATTCCTTTTCACAACATGAAAATGGAAAATTTGTACAAGGAAACATCGATTTTACAAATAGACTCCGCCCCATAATTGCAAAATCCATAATTTCTTCCAAAAATGTACCATTTTAATCATGTTCAAAGTTTCTTGTTGTGAAAAGATGACTATATATATTAAGAAAAAAAATGCAAAATATAATTTCGTAGTTGAACGACCAGAGTGACTGAGTAAATTCAACCCTCGGCTTCGCCTCGGTTAAAAGTAAGATTACGTACTTCACATAAGAAAATGGAAATTAATTTTCTCTTTAAGTCAAGGGTTCCCACAATGAAACTATTTTGGATCGAAATTAGACTCTACAATCGAGAAATTTCCTCTCGAGGCGAAGCCGAGAGTTGAAGAATATGTAATTACCGGACAAATATTTTTAATTTTTGCTATTAAAGTGGATGATTAAATTCAACGCTCGGCTTCGCCTCGGGTGAAATTAAGACTTACGTTCGTAAGAAGATAAAAAAAATATATTTTTTTCGTATCATAATTATTGTTTTAAATTGAAATTATACAAGGAATTTTCAGACGTGGCGAAGCCGAGAATTCTAAATTGTGAATTATAATTGTGAATTATATACGTTTTTAGAGACCATTTTTCATTCAAAAATATGTATATGATAACCCTAAAATACAAGGTCAAAAAATGTTTCAGTAATTTTCTTATCAATATCAATCATGGGAGCAAATATTTATACCATCGAAGTCACTAAGTAAGTTCAACTCTCGGCTTCGCCTCGGGTAAAATTAAGATTCCGTACTATACCTACATACGAATATGAAAAATATTTTTGTTTTTAAGTAAATATTTCCGCACTTCAACTCATTTAGTTCGAATTTAGAGTTCTTTAGACAAGAAATTTCTACGCGAGGCGAAGGCGAGAGTTGAGGAATATGCAATATTTTTCAATTGATTTTATGCAATATATATGAGACCTAAAATACAAAGTCATATCAAATCATTCAGTAAATACTTTGAAGTTATCTAACAAAGTCACTGAGTAAATTCATTCCTCCACTTCACCTTAACTTACTAACTATAAATATAAAAATGTGAAAATTATTTTTCTTTTGAGTCAATGTTCCCATATCGAAACTATTTTAAATCGAAATTAGAGCTCTATAGTCTAAAAATTTTCACTCGAGGCGAAGCCGAGAGTTAAAAATATGCAATATACACGTTTTTTAACAAAAGTCGTTTTTTATTCAAAAATTAGATTTAAAATAGGTAGAAGATGAAATTGATTCTCTCAATTCTGATGATTTTTTTTATTCGCCGTAAATTACCATTTGAAATATGATCTTAAGTAATCGTGTTATACAAAGAAAGCTAAATGCATTAATTAAAAAAAAAAACAAAAGAGAAGCCCCACCCATCCGTCTCGATACCAATCGTAATGAATTTTCCATTCGTTGTCAGACCCATGATACAAGTAAATATGGTATGGACATCCCATGAACCAAAACTCGTCTTCTTCTGCGCAACGTTATCTGACGTCATGTGGAATGAATGACCTTCCACTTCTGTGTTGACATCTGATGTCAAATATCAATTTTAAGGGTTATGAGGCAGTTATGAGTTTTTGTGGTTATGAGGGTTATTGTTTATTGTTACCAGACTGATGCGTAAAAACAAATTGGTGGTTTGCTAGCGACCTAGCGTTGTTAAAAAAATAGCGGGGATGATAGCAAATAATAAGAAAATATCTGTGTCCTTGTTATGCTCCGTCTTTTCGACAGCAGGTATTTTTTGCTTCCAGTATGGCGATCCTGTTACTGTCATTTGGCCGTCAATTGCCTTGGTGGTAACACGTCTTCCACGACTGTTTGCTGGTTACCGGTGACACTTTCTCGTTGAATAGGGCTGGAGTTACTTTGGAACTGGAATAATGTTCTTTCCGGTCCGTTAACTCAATAATTCTAGTACAGTCTGTCGTAACCTCAAATCGTAAACACATCAACCTTTCGTTGACAGATAGCGAAAATTACTAGCCTCGCGCTATCTTTGTTTAACACATAGGTTAGGTTCCTCTCTGTCGAATTCCGACCACAGGCAGTTTGCCGTACTTTCTAAAAGTAATAGTAGATCTAGTGACTTTAGTTGGGCTCGGTAAATATTTCAATTTCCCGCCTGAATACAGCCAGGTGACGTCAGCAAACCTGCGTATGTCCATACCATATTTACTTGTATCATGGTCAGACCGATGGGCGGAGCCTAATTGCTAAATCGATATTTCCCTATACGAATTTTCCATTTTAAATATGTTTTAAAATTCATGTTGTGAAAAGGAGTCTACACATATTAAAACAAAGAGGCAAAATATAAGGCTTTCTATGTTTCTGTAGTACTTAATAATAAAGTTTTTTTGATTGAGAGTTACTATAAGGTATCTTGTTTTAACTTCTTCAGCGTTAACCATGCGAGTATATACGTTATATCATTGTGTACCAGTATAAGAATACAGTCCAAGTGGTCGCTTAGCTCAAGTCAACGACACTTTTTTCTTACACTGTTATCATAAAATAAGTTTACTATTTCTCAAAATGAAATAATTAATCTTTGACAAATTTTTATTATTAGAATTTGCAACACTCCTCTCCTTTGAAATTCGTCATGTTACAAGTTTAAGAAATGAACGAGAGTGAATCTCAAAAAAAAAAATTTAATTTTAAATTTTAATCAGTAAACAGTACCTAAGTATTACTAGATTTGCCGTAAAGGTGCTATAATCCAGCACATGTGATAGTATGGCATGACTAAAATCCTAATTATCCCGAACAATCAAACTTCTACTGTATTAATGAAGTTTAAAGGTTTTGCATTTAACACCCACTGAATATGCTAGACTTC